AGCCTATGTATTGACAAGGCCTGGTGTGTGGGATTTGGTGTTAGGAAGTGAGAGAAGGTACTCAGACAATAAAATTATTGAACTTGATATTGAGTCCAGAAGACTATAGGGTCCCTAAGCAGAAAATGAGGTGCTAATATACTAGTTTGTGCTGAACTTCACTGGAGCACAGCAGCAACCCCCAGACAGAGATGTTGGCCAGGGAACAAGGTTATGTGCTGAAGTAGCAGGCAGCTGGAAGCTCCGGATCATTTTTGTGGGCAGAACATAGTTATTCTGCAAAGCAGTCGCTCAGCTTGCGTTTGGTCTCCCCAGTGTACAGGAGACCACATTGTGAGTAGTGAATAAAGGAGACTTGATTGAGTGACGTGCAGGTAAATTGCTGCTTCATCTGGAATATATGTCTGGGCCTTGGAGAGTGAGGAGGGAGGAAGTAAACAGGCAGGTGTTACCCCTTGTATGATTGCATGGGAAGGTGCCATGGGGCTGTAGGGTACATTTTCAGAATGGAGGAATTGACCAGGGCATCCAGGAGGGAATGGTCCCTGTGGAAAGCTGACAAGAGGGAAGGGAAATGTGCGTCTGGAGGTGGCAGAAACGGTGGCTAATGATCTTTTAGAAGTGGATACTGATGGGATGGCGGGTGAGGATACATGGGACCCTATTGCTGTTGTGGGAGGGAAGAGAGTGAGTGAGGGCCAAAACACGGGAGGTGGGTTAGACACCGCTTGAGGGCCCAGTCAACCACAGGGAATGGGAGTGGTTACAGTGTGGAAACAGGCCATTCGGCCCAACAAGTCCACACTGCCCCTCCGAAGAGCATCTCACCCAGACCTATTCCCCTAATTTCCCATGCCTAACCTACCTAACCTCAACATCCCTGGGCACTATGGGCAATTTAGCATGGCCAATCCACCTAGCCTGCACATCTTTGGACTGTGGGAGGAAACCGGAGCACCCAGATGAAACCCACGCAGACACGGGGAGAATGTGCAAACTCCACACAGACAGTCGCCCGAGGCTGGAATCAAACCCGGGTCCCTGGCGCTGTGAGGCATTGGTGCTAACCACTGAGTCACCGTGCCGCCATGTAAAGGGATTGCACATCCAAGGTGAAGAGGAGATGGCTGGAGCCTGCGAACTGGAAATTCTGAAACTGATGTAAACTATCAGAAGAATTATGGATATAAGTGGGAAAGGACTGAACATGGGGAGGAAAAATCAAGTCAAGGTAGGAAGAGATGAGTTCTGTGAGGCAGGAGCAAGCAGAAACAATGGTTTCCCCAGTCAATCCTGTTTGTGGGTTTTAGGAAGGAGGTAGAAGTGAGTTGGGAGACTATGAGCTTGGAGACAGTCGGCGGGGCGGGGGGAGCAGGTGGGATGTATGGGGGCGGGATCGTCAGATGAAATGAGATTAGTGACATTCTGGAAATAATGTCCTGGTGTTCAATGGTGGGGCCATGGTCCAGGGGAGGTAGGAGGAGATAGCTGAGAGCTGGCACTCAGCCTCTGCAACGTAGTGGTCAGTACACCAGACAACAGCAGCACCAACCCTGTCAGCAGGCTTGAGACAGGGTTAGACCTGAGAGCATGGAGTGCAGTCAGTTGAGAGACCATTATTCCAGTTGTCTTACCAGTAGAAATGCCAGCAAGGGAGGTGTGTCCAAAGATGCCAGAGCAATTACTGCCTGCCACCTTTTCCACACAAAATATATGATAATTCATGAACAAAAGCCAGTGTCTGTGGATTCTCAGACTAGAATTCTAGGTTTGATTTTGAGCATAAATTACATTTTCTGAAACTTAATGCCTCGCAAAACCATTGATAAGAAAAAAGAAAGGAAATTTGCATGGCTTCACAGAAAATAGTAAAACTCTCTTCCAGCATTGTTCACATAAGAACATTTGAAATTAATTTTAGGGCTGTTTTTTTTCGCCCCTATGAGATTTGACTGAAAACATAATAGAGATCTATACGACTTAGTGCTTTATTTCATTGTATTCCTCACATATGTCTAGTTATTGCGTTTCTGCATACTGAAGTTCAATGATTGAGGTTGGAAAAGTTTTGATTCTGTATTGAAATTGTGCAGTTGAACAACTTCCAGCCAGTTCAGTAGATTGTCTCTATTATTGTGGTGATTTACTGGAGTTGAGGTACAGTATTGCAGCAAAGAAAATAGAGAAGAGTATTGCTGTATTGACACAGCCTTGTTTGACTCCACTTTTCACTGAGATTTAGTTTGAGGTGGTTTCATGTAAAGGATCATCTCTTGCATCTCATCATGGAGTAGATGGAAGATGGTGATGCACCTTTTAGGACAGGTAAATTTGAGAAAGATACTCCCATCAGCCTTAGCAGTTGATAGAGTCAGAAAAGGTCATTTTGTGCTGTTACCTTGTATGTTTTTCGAATCTGCTGCGTAGTAAAAAATCATGTCTGTTGACCTCTTGATGAGTCCTCAGCTACTGGAAGGAGGCATTGAGGAGGAACCTTGTAATCACCTTCCCTGTGACAAACGGCAGGGTTTTGTTTCAGTAATTATCTCAATCAGACGTGTCTCTTTTTGAATGATGTTATGATCACAGCATCCCTGAGATCCTCTGGCATGTAATTTGTTTTTTCCCAGGTGAGGGAGATATGGTTGTGTAACAATGCCAGGAGTGAATCACTGCTATGTTTCAGAATCACAGGGACACCATCTTCTCCAGGGAATTTGTTGATTTTCAGCTGTTGGATGGCTTTTTCACCTTCCATTTCAGACCATTGAGACAGTGACAGATGAGGCATTGAATAATGGAATTGAAGATGTTCAAAACAATGACAGAGTCTCGGTTGAGGAGTTCTTCAAAATATTCTCTCCAGTGAGCATTAGCTGCCTCCCTGACCTTAATGAACTCCCCTCCCCTTACCTCTCAGTGTGGCATCAGAGCATTCGCGGATACTTCAACATTCCTGCTGATTCATGAAATACCTTGGCTTGTTGCCAACCAAAATGGAAAACCGTCATTTGAAAGTGCATCTACCACAGTGAGAGATTTTGTCAGCAACATGAAAGGCAAAGTCAAGACACCAGAGCAAGCATTAACTTTCAAATAACTCACCTACTCATTCCTTCCATAGCCATCTGTCCTAGATATGACAGAGTCTGCAGATCGCACATTGGACTAATCAGCCATCTCAGAACCCAGCCAACTGGAGTGGAAGTAAGTCATCCTTGATCCCAAGAAGATGAGAAGAGATTTTTCTGTACATGCTATTTATTGATTTTGTTATCCATATTTTGAGTGCGCTTATTAAAGTGGAAACTACTTTTGCTAGAAATGTGCAACACCATGTGTTGCTTGCTTGCTTCAAATTACAAGTTCTTTGATGTGACCTTTATTTATCTTCCAAATTGATTTTGGCCAGCTGGAGCTTTGTAAGCACTGTGTTTCTGTTTAGTTGTTCTATTACTTTAATTCTGTAAGGCCTTCACAGCTATCTTTGTGAAGAAATGAAAACCTAACAAGTAAAATGTCAAAGTTAAGCAAGACTAATCTGAGAAATAAGCCCAAAAATATATTGGGAAGGTTTTTACCCCTAAAGCCATTTGTAAATGTTGGATGGTTTTTCTCTCTATTTAGTACTGCCAATTTGATCAAATTTATTTCTTTGGATAATCCTTCCATTGTCATAATGTAGAAACTGAGTCAACAAGGTAAAGGAAAAGTTTGCCAAAGAAAACCTTTAAAATGTGCGTTTAACAACCTTGCTTGATAAAAGAGAGAGAGCCTGAAGCTGCATTGCTGTTCCATCAGTCTCCTGATATATGTTCAGTGGAAGTGTGTAAGGCTGGCTGTGATCCATACATACCAGGTCCTGACCTTGAAAAGCTTTTTTGGGGTTTGTGCCTATCCTTGCCATTCTGTCAATGTAAGGGGACTATTCCAGGGGATGGAAGTCCCTCTTCCAGAATCGAGGGATTGCAATGATTCCCATTTTTAGGCCCAAAGTTAGGTAAAGCTTCAGTGCGTGGACATTTGATCTTATTGTACATATCTGTCCATTGTTGAATTGGAAGTCAGTAGTACGGTTGCAACCAAATTTTGATAAAGAGCACTTGAATAGCTAACCACCCTTTGTAAGAATTATGTGGTAGCATTAAAATTCCTCTTTGGAGGTGGATGAGGGAGCAGGACACATCTCTGCACTATACTGGACTGTAATCCTTGAGGTTTTTAGGAACTTTGTGGAGGATGTAGCATGAAACATCCAATCACAAGGGAATCATACTTGACACTGCAAACTTTAAAAGTGTGAGTAACCAGCTCAAAACTAGTTGCAAAAAATGACTAATTCTGTTTCAGTAATTATGGTGGATTTTCTAGGTCATACAGTCAACAGCAATTTAAATTACAGGGGAAGAGCCTGCTTAAAAGCCATCACTTTGATTAAAGTTTTTGTCGCTTTAATTCTCCTTGATGTCACTTTTTTTAATTACTTCCTCTGAAGCATCTTGGGCTGGATCATTAAAAGTGCTATCAATATAGAAGTTGTTGTTGAAACAGTTGCTCACTGAAGTGGCACTGAGCAGGGCAACCTCTGTGTGTTTTCTCAACTATTTTAGTAGGGAATGCATGCGCATCGTAACTGTTTCCTTATTGATATTAACGGGGAACCCTATTGATAATGAGTCATTGCACCAGGTAATTGTCTGTATAGTGCAACTTCACATGAACAAACTTTCCCCCAGTGTTTCCAGTGAATTAATACCAACATGCTCCAATACTCTACTAGTATTCAACTTAAAGAAAAAATTGTTCTGTACGAAACCTTACCGTTGTCTCAGATTTTAATTTTAGAAACAAATATACTCATTTTACTGCAGTACAGAATAATTAGGACATGTGTAAGTACTTTGTAAGTTTTGCTCATGTATATCTGATGGATGCAGCTTTGTAGTTTTATGTTTGATCGTGTGGCAACCTTTTCACATAACATGTTAAATACATTCCAGAGCCACCCTGCCAGATGGAACTAAACAATATTCAAAGACAGCAACGAGGAAAGAAATTGCTTGGTGAGTTCTGAGTTTTATTTTGAACTACTTCTTAATTTAAACAATGGTAATAGCATGAAAAGAAATGAACCAACAAAACTTCTTAAGATGAGTTACCAATTGTTATAGGATATGTTTCATATCGTAATAATTATTTTAACCTTTCCAATATATTAATCATGCAATGAATTTATGTTAATTGGAAGAAATAAAGGGTATTAGTTATTAAATGGTTGCATTATACATTTTATTTAAATATTAAGTGCATATTTTTGTCAATATCGGCACCAGCTGAGGTTACCATGAAGGACATTCCTTCTCAGCTTCTCACCTCCATCACCGTCACCAGTCATCTCTCCCTCATGAGAGAGCAGCCCTGTGGTCTGATCAGACTATTGTGATTTCATGTTTGTCACATACATATTAGTGTTTTTGTTTTAATGGTATTAAATAGAAAAAATATTATTTCCTGAACTCTTTACGAAGAATTAACCTGTTTACTTCAAATAAGTTAACTCATCTGCTAAATCAGCAGAGAGAAATATTGGAAATGTATGTGCTAATGTCACAGCAATTCTGAGTTTTCTTCTCAGGAAATGACAATGGGTTATTGATGGGGATAAAAGTGCTCTAAAGCTACTTAATGCAATGCATACCATGAGTGAAAAACCATTCAGATATTCTGCTGACAGTTCATTTCAAAGCAAATGATCAGCTCGGACTGAGCGATCTAATTGATTTCAGTACAGATGATTTTAGAAGATAGGACAATTTTTTTGAGGGGGGAAGGTGGAGTTGGCGCCAGAAAAGTCTGTAGCTGTGAATTGAGTTATCTCATTTCTTCCATGGCAAGATGACACTGCCAATACCAGAGTTCATGCCAAAATTTTTGAACTTGATTGTCTTTTATAGTAGTAAATAACACTTAAAAATTAATCTCTTAAGAAAAGTGCCTGCAGATTTTATTGATAAATTACAATAGTAAATACTGAGGAAATGTCGGTAGCACATTCTCATTGCAAGTGTTCAGAATTCTTCTTGGTTAAAAATAGAATTTAACTTGTCATCATAGACCATCCAAGGCAATTCCAGGTTCATGAAGCTGACAAGGTTCTTTTCTCCTTCCCAAAATCCACAAACCTGAATGCCCTGGTCGACCCATTGTCTCCGCCTGCTCCTGCCCCACCGAACTGATCTCCAACTATCTCGACTCCATTTTCTCCCCCTTGGTCCAGGAACTCCCTACCTATGTCCGTGACACCACCCACGCCCTCCACCTCCTCCAGAACTTCCAATTCCCCGGTCCCCAACACCTCATCTTTACCATGGACGTCCAGTCCCTCTACACCTGCATTCCCCATGCAGATGGCCTTAAGCCCCTCCGCTTCTTCCTGTCCCGCAAGCCCGACCAGTCCCCCTCCACTGACACCCTCATCCGCTTAGCCGAACTCGTCCTCACACTCAACAACTTCTCTTTCAATTCCTCCCACTTCCTACAGACAAAGGGGGTAGCCATGGGTACCCGCATGGGCCCAAGCTACGCCTGCCTCTTTGTAGGTTACGTGGAACAATCCCTCTTCCGTACCTACACCGGCCCTAAACCCCACCTCTTCCTCCGTTACATTGATGACTGTATCGGCGCCGCCTCGTGCTCCCACGAGGAGCTCGAACAGTTCATACACTTCACTAACACCTTCCACCCCAACCTTAAATTTACCTGGACCATCTCTAACACCTCTCTCCCCTTCCTGGACCTCTCTGTCTCCATATCGGGCAACCACCTCGAAACCGATATTCATTTCAAGCCCACCGACTCCCACAGCTACCTAGAATACTCCTCCTCCCACCCACCTTCCTGCAAAAATGCTATCCCCTATTCCCAATTCCTTCGCCTCCGCCGCATCTGCTCCCAGGATGAGGCATTCCACTCCCGTACATCTCCTACCGACCAACCTCATCCCGCCCCCTTGACCTGTCCGTCCTCCCTGGACTGACCTATCCCCTTCCTAACTCCCTACCTACACTCACCTTTCCTGGCCCCATCCCCGCCTCTTCGACCTGTTTGTTTCCTCTCCACCTATCCTCTCCTCTATCCCTCTTCTATCCGCCTCCCACTCTCTCCCTATTTATTTCAAAACCCCCTTCCCCTCCCCCTTTTCTGATGAAGGGTCTAGGCCTGAAACATCAGCCTCTCTGCTCCTATGATGCTGCTTGGCCTGCTGTGTTCATCCAGCCCTGCACCTTGTTGTCTCGGATTCTCCAGCATCTGCAGTTCCTACTATCTAAGGTTCTTTTGTTTCTGTGCGAGGAGCAGGCTTCCACATACTGTTGTTATTTCAATTGTTCTTATGTGTACTTCATAACATGCATTTGGTTTCCTCAGGAACTTTTATTCCAACTTGTGATGAAGATGGTTATTATAAAGCAATCCAGTGTCACGGCAGTGTAGGACAATGCTGGTGTGTTGACCAATATGGAAATGAAATGAGAGGATCTAGATCAAGTGGATCACCAGATTGTGGTATGCACTTAAACCAAAACAAAACCTTTAGTCTGATATGCTAATATTTAAAACATCTACAAGAATCTGTCTCATCTTTGCTTAAATTAAGCAAAAAAAAAAATATTGTGCTATTACTACATTTTGTTGGTGAAGAGGTTTGCAGTGTAGCAGTGCTGGTTTTTCAGAAATTGGTTTGAATACTGCTAATTACTAATAATTTCTGGGCTGAATCTTACTTTTCTTGGCTAAGTCCAATTTGCATCAGGTTTGACAGAAGAATTCTTGCCATAATGCCTTGAGCTTTCTTGCGATGTCTTACCAAACTTGCCTTATTAGTTGCCTACCACACCCCAGTAGTGTCTCTCACATCTGATTCCAAACCATCTTACTATTTGATGTGCCTGTAACAGCTCACCACTCAGTAAATATCCACCAAAAGTCCAGCAGCTCTTGGGCTCACATCTTTAAAATGCTTGGAAGAATACTAGCATTATGAATTTACATTACTCAATCAAAGATGTATGCACAAGATGTCAGCAAAGGAGAAAATGATATTGCGATTCTCTGATAGGGACCTGGAGGTCCTGATTAACAGGATGGTGCAATGAAGAGGTGTCCTCTTCCCAGAGGAGGTCAAAACACCAGACCCTACCAGTCTGGTTTGAGGTCACTACCCAGGGTGCGATGAATGACCAGCAATGCAGAAAGTCAGTGACTCTCTACACTCCACCAGGGTAAGTGCCACATTCTGCTGTAAGCCACCTCACACTCATTCTATCAGTATCACTGCACACAGCTCCCGTCAAGGCTCATGTCCTACCACTATCACTGTTGCCTGCAACTCCTTCCTTTACCTGCTCTTTCCCCTCAGCATATCATTTCACTAAGCCTGTTTGCCCTCAGTGTTGCCTCCTCAGTCCTTTGGTACAACTCACCATGTTTTCCTAAAAGCATCAACACTAACAGCTGTGCCTCCCACCGTGATCTCATACATTTCCCTCTTCTCTCACCACAGGAAGAGAGAGCCCATTACAAAGCAGTGTGAGCCCATATGAGAGGGAATGGGGAGTGTGGCCATCATCAATATCCTCAATGCCCTTATCCCATTCAAGGAGAGAATCCTGGCCCTCACAGGAGAAGACCAAGGCTGCTCCTGTGGGGAGCTGAAATATCAATGTCCTTCCTAGCAAATAAGTATGTACGCTCCCATTAACACCATTATCACTCACTGATTGCACACCACGTCTAACTGTTGGCCATGATGTCTTCTCTCTCTCTTATCTTCTCGGTTCTGTAAGCCTACTCCTGATGTCTGCGGAGAATCTACTGGCTGCAGAAAGAGCCACCATCATGGACCTCTGAGGACAAGAGTACCAAGGCATAGAAGGAAGCATCAGCAAGGCTACCTTGTGCAACAATGCGCACACCACCCCCACCCCACCCCCCACGCCCCCACCGCACCCCTAACACCAATTCAGACACTGACACTGTGGGAGCAGGGCGGGAAACCATATGCAGTGAAATGCAAGAGCACAATCTGGTGAGCACCTCAAAGTGACAGTTTCACAGCTGATCGAGGGTGAAATGGACCAGGCTGCAGTACTCAATAGATTGTTAAATACCAGGCCACCTGCTCAACCCTGGTCAGGAATCTTTACCCCAGTCCAGGCGCCTCTGTCCCTCAAGGAGCTTGGGCAGTGCCAGGAGGCATCCAGCTGGAGGTACAGCCACACATAGACTCCTCAGCAGCTTCCACGCAGGACAGTATGGAGGTGCCCCAGCCATCCAACTGCATTCTACTTGCTTTCTTCAAACTCTTGGAAGCTCAAGCTGAGGAGAGTCAACTTGCCTCTCACTGCTCTGTCTGTAATGTAATTGTTGCAGAATTGTGTAGCATTGGCTGTGCCATGCAGTGCAACGTACTGAGGGGGTCAGTGCTGTCAGATGGCAAGGGAATAGGCAACCTGCTTTCTCTTGCTCTACCTTTCATAAGTAACCAATGTTGCGTGTTACAATGTGACAGCCATTGTTGTTCCCCTTTAAAAGCCTTGTGAATGGTGTCTATAGCAGCTTGCTGTTTCACAGGTCAAGTCACTTACCCCACCCACTGCGAGGGGGCTCACATCCCTTTTCTTCCCACTGCACATTTTCAATTTCCAGCATCATGAAAGGCAATAGTGAGTGCTGCGGTCCCAGGGGCAGCTTGTCTGTATCAATGAGCCCCCAAATCTCCACATCCCCTTTCTATTAGCTCATCCCATCAACCTCATGGGATTCATACTTCACAAAGTCCCCAGTCAAGCGATTTAAATTCACCCACATCTGCTTACTCTTCCCACCCAGACCCTGGCAAGTGAGGGGACCATGCATGGTGCCGTCATACATTGCAGCCCCTCTTCCATCCTGAAGCCAGTCTACTCCTGACCATGCATTACTTCCCCTTCTCACTCCCCCATTACATACCATTCCCAGCAATGCTTCACATTATCCTCAACCCTTTGCAAATGCTGCTGCTCCTCATTACAATTGGCAAGTGTCCTTGCCTAGAACTTGCATCCCCTAGCCCCTCACTAAACTACTGAGGCTCAATACCACTTTTCCTCCCCTCAGCCCCTGTTACTTTCTGTGGACAGACCCGATAATCTGACTATGGCCCGCCACATTCTACCGACCTGCCTGGACTGCCTTGCACAAAATGTATCCAGACCCCTAACTGGTGCCTATAAATCTCCCCGACCCCATCAGCCCATGTCCCCGCCCCCACGATTTCTCACTTCAGAGCAGTGGACTGATGATGGCCCGCTCCCTGGAATGTGGAAGCATGGTTCCCTAGACTGTTAACCCCTTCCACCCTGCTGACCAGATGCCAGACCACGCACAGTATATACACACTGCCATTGGCTTACTGTGCCAGGACCCCTGACTGATTGGTACCAATCGAAGACTGCTCCCATAAGATTTGGATACATTGCTGCCTTTTTGCTGGCCATGTGTTTGTTGTGTGTAAGCTGCTGGCACATGGTGCAGGTGTGAGATGGATTTAGCACCCTGCCGTTCTACATGATGCGCACTCTCTAGACTGAGCGCTACATAGCAGCAAGGCAAGTTGCCTGTTTGTGTGATAGCATTCATTCGCACAGCAAGGCAAGGCAGGGATGCTGTGAGCATGCAGAGTGGTCCTAAGTGAGCAAGCACTGAGAACAAGTGAGCATCCCTGTGATGGGCATCTGTCCTTGTGCGCAATACCCTTGCTGCAGCTTTTCAGAGCTAGTTGCTGGTCTGGACTTCAATGCAACCCTATATTTCTGGAGCACACTGACATTGCACAATAGAAGTATGAGGATTGGCATGATGGATTGGCTGATTCCGAATGCAAATGTCCAAGGAGCAGGAGTGAGTTCGGCTGGTTCCTGTGGATCATATCTTGATATGTTGTTGTCCAGTGTGTAACATGTAGATCACTTGGGGAAGTAGCAAACTGAATCCGCCAAGTATGTGCTGTGGTTCCCTGTCAAGTTTTCCGCATGTCTACCTTATTTGATGAGTGTGATAAGATGGGAGTCTGAATATTAAGGATACGAATTATGGTATTTACAAAGCTTTTAACAAGCCAATAATGGCCATCAATTAGCAAATCACTGCTCTTAATGAGAATGTCTCCACACCACTTGTGAAAAGTATAAAGATGGAGTGAAATAACCTTGATGTTGAAATGATCTTCACCAAACTCGTCGCCTGATTCTGCAACACATTTCACCATAGCTGACATCACAGGACTCCTATGAGAGTCAGCCCTCTATTTTTATTCACCAATAGGTTTTGTCAAAATTCTTTTTATGTTATATCTTAGTTCCACAGTTTACTTTAAAGAATGTTAAACAGATGTGAATCTTCTTAGCTAACAAATACAACAAAATCCAAAATCTAAATTGAAGTGATATACAATGCATTTGGTTCGAATTATACTAGAGCTTAAGGCATGTAAAAAGATTGATTGACTGTTTCCAGAGAGTTAACCATGCACAGTTCCAGGGGCAATTGACACTTTAAAGGCCTTTAGGTTGGTATGGAAAGGCAGTTTCACCAGATACACCAGAGAGCCTGCAGCTAAAATCATATGCAACAGTGACAAACTGAGTTTATACTCCAGATGAATGAAACACATTATTGTGAAACAGGTAACCAGTGACTTTGATTAAAATATTCTCACACTATAGAGTGTAAGTAATAAATTATTATGTGGGCCTTAGCTTCTTGTTCATTATCTTCAGCATGAATTTACTTATTGTATCATACTAATAGTGATCTATGGAAAGACTTCCTCAGTTTCAGGCCATTACTGTTCACCAGTGCTTACTTTGTGTTGCATTTTTCCTTCCAATAATTGCCTCTGTCCACCAACTGGCGTAATAATTTGGCCATGTCTCTTGTATTCTTTTCACTTTGACGTTATACACCGAGTCCCACTTTTATCTGGTCAGTTCTAGTACTTATATCCTATACAGACAGAAAGGCTAAGGAATATGGAACATCATCCTGTAAGTCCACATCTGCAATGCATTCAACTCATCAATAGTCTAATTGTTTTAAGCCCATGTCTCTAAGACATAGTGTATAACATAGATGACAAAATGTAGCATATAAGTATCCTTTTCCTAAGATTCGAATTCAGTTTCTTTGACGATGACACATCATTCCTTCTAACAAAGTTGGCCTTGGTTATTTGAATTCTCTGTGGGTCTCAGCACATATTTCCCTTCATTTATAGCCATCTGGCCAAGCTTTGTGAACCTTTTTGCATGTGTATTTACCTCAATTTTCGCTTCCAAGTTAGGTCTGTACTCATCACCTTTGTCTTGGTCTTCCTCAGATTGCTTCTTAATCTATGTTTCACACTCCTTGCTTTCACTTTGCTTTCAATTTCCTGCAATGCTGTAGATATACAAGAAACGTCACTTAGCCTTTTCAGAAATAGTGAATTAAATGGTATTTCTGGCATTTTTGATTTTCTCTCCAATGCCTTGGTTATGGAAGCATGGTAGCACACATTACTACCAAAAGCTGATTTACCATAAACCTGAAATAAAATGATATTCAAGGCTGACTACAGGTATAAGTGGTACATTTCCTTACTGACCAACATAGAGAAATCGACTCCCTCATTTCTTTTTAAGATTTGTATAATAGATTATTTAATTTGAACAACAGTTGCATTTGTGATGAGCATTTATAGTGATTAGAATTCCATTTCATGTAATTTATTATGTACATTATCAGCACAATTAAGCAAATAATTGTTGCCTGACTTAGAACAAATGTTCCTACAAGTAAATGTGTTGGTCGTCTATTTTCTAGTTGGTGATCTGGAGATTTCAGGTGACTTTGGCAGTGGTGACTTCCATGAGTGGTCAGATGATGAGGATGATGTGGAAGTAATCAATGATGAGGAAGAGGATGCAGAAGTTGACAATGAAGATGATGAAGATGACGATGATGAATATGATGTAGGGGGCTACATATGGTAGTCTGGAAATGTCGTGAACTTTAATATTTTGCACGTTTCTATAGTGAAATCTCATCCATTATTAGACACGTTAAAATGAACAAAAGATATTTCAGTCAACATGTATATTTTGTACAATTATACCTTCAAATATGGATCCTCCAGAAATAGGTCTGTACCCTTTAAAAATTATTGCAGTACTTGTTAGCTCTGTAATTTTTGAAAGCATAAATTGATAATTATAATCCAAGCCAGTTAAATGAAATACAATGCTAAAACACGTGTAAAAACCTCAACTATGATTTTGAAAATCAACTTCCTTTGAATTGTGTTCTGTCATCGTATATGGCCACATTGTGATGCAGTAAGCCTAGGCTCCTCCTCCACAAATGACCTGTGTACATTGCTCCTGGCATTGACCCTGAAAACATGAGTCATAGCATTGATTTGCTTTGTTTTTAGAGTGTGTTGGTTATTCAGATGGCAAAGGCATTATGTAACCAAAAGAATAATTTGTCAGCATTTAGTTAACTTTTGCATATGCACATTATTATGGTGAAATTTGCAGCAGTTGGAATTTTTAGCCAGCGGTGGTTATGGCAACAAGCCGTTCTTGCCATAGGTTGACTAAAACATTACTAAAGAACATGGATGCCTTGACTACCTGAGTGATGTTTTTTGTCTTCAAATAAAATGTAATCATCTTTTTAAAAGTATATATACTTTTAATTAGTAGTTTGAAGTAAATAGAAGTCACATTGCGATGTGCCTTTCAATTTAAAAATAGACATCTTGTTTGTGTATGAAAAATAGGAGTTCAGGAAATATTTAATCATGCCCGATCACAGCTAAGTACTGCAGCTGCAAATGTGGAATAAGAGAAAAGTAATTTTAAGTAATTAATTTTTCAATAGTTATAACAGTCATCCTATGGACTATAAATATATGCCAGAAATGTGTAGCAGTAGCACTTAACAATTTTGCTATAGATTAAATTGCCCTGTATTTATGTTAGCATGTTAATTGATTGTATAGACATGTTGGAATCCCATCGCCTTGATACATATTAGAGTTGAGTCTTTTAAGTCCTCTTTCAACAAAAATCAAAGTTGTTTGTAGTTACTAACATAACATTGCATTGTGTGCTGTTTATTTAGAACATATGATTGTCAGCTCTTAAATGTTTCTTCTGAAATCTGGACTAACAAAAAACCACAAATAATATAACACATTTCCATTCTCTTTTTCCTTATAAACTGAATTTGCATTTCAAAATGAAAAGGCTATGCTGCATTTTTTTTTACTGTATGTATAGTTTGCAATAATAAAGGACTCCTGTAACCAGTTATACTGCTGAGTATTCTTACTGTTTCATAGTAAATGCATTTTCTAGCATTCTGCTAAAAAAAACACATTACTTTCTTAAAAAAACAAAAGAGCTTCGGATGCTGTAAATCAGAAACAAAAACAGGAATTGCTGGAAAAGCTCAGGAGGTCTGGCAGCTTCTGTGGAGAGAAATCAGAGTTAATGTTTTAGGTCCAGTGACCCTTCCTCAGAACTGAAAAACAGGCAGAGCCAACTGCTCCGCCCTTCTCACAGACCAACCATAATAACCTCCTACCAGCACCACCAGCTTCAAAATCTCTCCACCCCCACCTGCCATCTTCCTACTCACCTGTCTGTCCCACCCTTCCCACTGACCAACCACATTTACCCGCTACCTGCATCCACCTACTTCCATCTCACCTACTCTTCCCCAGACCAACACCCCTCCCACTATTTATTTCTGGGATTCCCTTCACAGTCCTGAAGAAGGGTTGCACCCTGAAACATTGACTTTCCTGCTCCTTGGATGCTGTTTGACCTGCTTCCGGCATCTGCAGTCCTTTCTGTCTCCAAGACCTGAATTATATTATCAGTTCCTATTTTGCAGATATCTGACTGACCCCTTATCTCAGTGACCTGAGAAGTGTGAAACTCTTGACCCAGATGTAGCCTGCCATCTCCCTTTAATTGTAAAACCATTCAGCATAGAATGATATTGATAACTATACTAATAATCAATTTTAATCAGCCAAGCTCCCAAAGTTAGAAGCAACATGCATTCATAAGCAGGCATCTATTCTCTGCAAACAAAGGAATATGTCTGAGGCTTGATTTGACAATTATTCGACAATCAGTATTGGAAAGAACAACTTTGCTTTCTTTTTAAGATCTTTCATAGGTTGTCGATGTCGCTGTTGCCCAATGTCCTACTCATGAACTTGACCTTTGTTCAGAGCACATTAAAATGCTGAAGATGATTGAGGGTTTCGGTGACAGAGGAAGTAACATTGGTAATATCATGCAGTTCAGAACAGACTACAGTTAGAATGAAGTTTATAAAGCTACAAGCACAATAATAAACTGAAAATCAAGTTTCTAATACTGTTAAAAAGATATTCAGGGTGAAATGGATTTAATTCAATTCTATCATTCCAAAAACAACAACTTTACACTATTCAGTACATTTTTCATAGTGAGTCAAACAGAAAGATACAGATTTCGACAGGAATAGCAGCTTGTGACCACAGTTTCTCTAATGTAATAAAAAGCTGCAAGACGTTTAACAGGAGCATTATCAAACGAAGTATTATGTGCAGTTACCTTTTTTTTTCCTTTATTCATACCTAGGGCAATATTAGGGCAGATGACTAAAAGCCCAGTCAAAGTGGTAGATTTTAAGATTCGTCTTAAGAGAGGAAAGCAAGATAGAAATACAGAGAGCTTTAGGGAGGGAATTCTAAGCTTAAAGCCCAAGTAGCTGAAGCCAAGGCCATTAATAGTTGAGTTGCTAAAATCAGCAATTCTTGAGCCCAGATTTAAAAGAACGGATATATCAGGAAGGATTATAGAATTTCAGGAGATAACAATGAAAGTAGTACAACTTGATAACTATCTTTGCTGGTAGCATTTAATTGCACATTTATCCTTGTCTGAAGTTATCCTATTCATGGTTAAGTGACTTTGAGCTCATATTATTTTTGACAAGTTCTTGGCCAATGTAAACATAAGTAAAATAAAACTTCAAATTTTGATAGAATAAATTCATGTCTTATCAATCAGCTTTTAAAGTTCAACACTATTGAGAAACGACCTTTGTTCCAACAACCGAGTGAAATGTTACAAGGTTCAACTATACATGTTGAAATGTTTTGCTGCTGCCAGCACAATGGAGGATGAACAAAATGAACTCTCAATCCTTTAATTTCAAAAGAAGATGTTTATTTTGCATTTCTGTAACAAGAAGGGTATTTTGACCTTGTATTACATATATGTTAATAATAATAGAACATTAACTGATTTTAGGAAGGATAAGAGCAGTGAAAGGCTGGAGCAGGCCCTGAAGTTGGTACATACAGCAGCATTGATAACAGGATGGTGGAAAGCTTGCTGTTGATGTTGGATAACAGTTGGCAGGTAGAATCAATTTTGGGAGGGCAGACAGCAGCAGTGGAACTGAATCATGAAGCAAAAGTAGATTTAACAGGGTATTTTACTGGCAAACTATTGTCAGACTGTATCTGTATCAGTGCCTTTCTGATACTTCTTTTGTTACAGATATAATCTGCCACAATGTCCTACACTCCTGTTTTTGATCATATCAGTATCCGTGCATTTTGGATGGTGTCAGATCACATCGATATGAGTGAGTGTCCATCCCAGGCTCCAGGCCATATCTGTATCACTGTGTGTTTGATAATGTCTGTTGCAGAAGGGTGCATAGATCAACGGAAAGGAATGGGTTGTTAATAAATTTTGATTGGAATCTTCAGTACTACCTTACCTATGTCTAGTTCTTATCTCAGAGGATCTAATATAAGTATTACATTACCAAGTACAAATACTCTGCAGAAGAAAAAAAATCCAACGCAGCATCTGTGGTAGATCATGAGGCAGATCAGAATGTATTAGGGTTAATAATTGAAAGAAATGACTCTCAAATCCCAGATTCACATCACCTGAGGGTGGAAAGGTCTCTGATTCCATTTTAACTCAAGCCACTTGAAGCTTGACGTGCTGAAAGAAGCATGCTGTTAGTGCAGACAATGAAGTGAATATAATTTTTTTTATCAATGAGCTGTAATAAGTATTTGTGGGAGCTTTCAATACCACACAACCCATATCTAAATTCTTTCGTTCCAGGAGATAATATAGACCATTTTCACATCAGATTAAGGTATCCTGCTGGAGATAAAACACATATCAATTTCTGTTTGATCTTTGGAGAAAACCAGTGAAAGTCAATGGGAAACTTTCTGAGACATTTTGCCAAGACTTGACCCGCGCTAATATAACACTAAATCCAGAAATTCTCTGAGGCATCACCTAAAAGCAGTAACTGTAATTGTACAGTGTAAGTACTGTATAATTTTACTTTCTAGAAGTTACTAGGAGAAAGGAACTACTTGTTAATGGGCATCTTGCTAAGAATTTCCCTTGGTCTAGCCAAAAAATATCAGGAGACTGAGAGGTCAGGCATATAAGATGTTGTTATTGCTATTTGTAGACTTGAAGTATTATTTTTGCCTAAGCTACATTTTTAAACAATGAGCTTAAATTTTTAGTCTCAAGGCAATTATAGTTAATGTAGTTACTTATGAATATCTAGCCTTGATGATCTAAAGGTGCAAAAATAATTGCATTTACGCAATTGTGTCTGTTTTACTTACATTAGGTATAACTTAAGGCTTGTTTCTCAGCTTCAAGATAATAATCAGGATTTTGTATACTGTAAAATTTAAAATGTAACCTTGGGCTGAATTTTATGTATTTTTTTGATTAAATGCCAATTGTGTTGCATTATTTAGAGGGATTTTCTTCACGAGGCCTAGCAAGATTTCTCACTATGTCTTATTGAACTCAACTCATTAATTAATTACCCAATGCTTATAGGGTTCATCTCACTCATTTCCATCTCCATCTTACCACACAACATTCCCAGAACAACTCGCCACTCAGCAGGTATCTGTTGGAAAAACCAGTATCCCTTGCACCCAAACCATCTTTGAAAAGACACTGTGCATCCAGACAAGAGTTGGCAATCCAGCATAACATCTCACATAATGAAACCAGAGTTACAAAGACATGCTGCTCGAAGTACGTAACTTGCACAGCTGGCAATCCCTCGCACAACTAACCCATTCTCTCGCTCTAGTTACTGTTTAACTACCAACCCATATAGTTTAGCCATCCTTAGCTATATCCTTTCTAGTCAGCCTCTGGAGTTCACCATTATTCTGCCCCTATTGTCCACAGGAGACCCACAGCTTGTCATTATCCAGTAGAGAAATATCACCTACAGTCAAGCAACTGGGCAATTCAAAAATGAGCTTTTATTTACATCCAACAAAAGTGAATATAAACAATGAATAGAGGCTGCAGTTTGCTTCCTCAATGGAAATCAAATACCAGCAACTTGATCAACAACTATTCTACAGTCCATGATGGTCTGCTACACCCAGCTCCCATCAACTGGAACTGCAGGTCCATCAGGTCCTGCACAGCTGAGCTCTGTCTGCACAAGGAGATGTTCTTCCTCCCCAATCTCCTTATCCTTCTCCTTGGAATACAGGTTCCATCTCCCAGTTCTTCATTGCCTGCTCCAAGTGTGCAGAGTACGGGACAGCTCAATGTTGCAGCACGCTCTCTCTAAAATATAGTGAAGCAAACCCACCCCCTCCTGGACCATTCCAAGCAACAGAACTGCATCTTCAGCAGCCACATCGTCTGCTGCATCATGGCACAATTCGAAGCGTAGGCACCAATTGGGTGTCGGTGCCATGACAGCTGAGTAACCAACACATTACTTCAAAAAGGGAGCCTCTGCTGCAATCTGACCCCTTTCCCATCACAGATCCACATCAACCATTCCACTTTTCATTGAACTCAATAGATTCCATTGTCACCCTTACAACGCAGCAATGATCCCCTCCTCCCACTGTTCAACAAGTGACTTCTTAAGTCATTGCCACTAAAGTCTGCATTGCTAAAGTGCCAGTGACATGGTGCAAATCACCTTTGACCACCATTTGAACCCTAAGCACGTTTGCTTTGCATGCATTGCAACTGGGTGAAGAAATGTTTGGAAATTAAATGTAACTTGAGGTTTTATTTTCATGCATCGTTTATTTGCTCTTTCAATATCCTAATGCCCAGCAGTCATGTATCCCATGCTTCAACCCACCAAACTGGCACTGACCCCAGGTGCTGACCCAACAATTTTCCAGTTGTATTTGGCATCTATAGAATAGCAAGTGATTGCATTGTCAACATTAGGCCCTGTCTGGTCACCAGAT